TAACTGTGGCCTAAAGGCAATGCTCTCACTGCTCTCTTTAGCTGTGGCTAAAGGCAGTACTGAATTTTATTGCCTTCACAGCTGCACATACATGTTAATAGCAGAGCAGGTGAGCCCTTGTTTGGCTCAGTTTGACTTCTGAAGTGTGTAGAATTTGTTTGGATCTCAGGGGCACAGTAGGGCTTTCTGAATTCAGCCACAAGTCAGTGTTCTGGGAAGTCTGGTGCCTTGAATTCTATTTCCATGCTTAATAACATAGATTGCTTCAAAATTATTTCTTTGTTCAAGAATGTAAGGAATTAAGACACCATAGTCAATTATTCAAGTCATTCCGTTTGGAGCTGCTACTGAAAACTAACTTAGATTCAGTCCTAAATCAAAATTTAACTCTGTGAATACCTACATACATGTATGGATACATATATTTTATACAAATATATTCTATACATATATAGATCTTTACATATACACATGTGGAATCACCACAGAGACTGCTATTACCTCAGAACGACAACAAAGTATTCAACTTACTGACAACTGCCCTTGCCCAGCCAGGACCAGCAATGAATTGTTGTGGGGGTCCCAGCTGTCGGTTTCTCTGGGTCTGGATTGAAGGCACTTGGGATGGTAGTTCATGTTTGGACTCAAGTGTTTATTATTTCTTATCAGTAAAACAGTCTCACTACTGTGAGCTTGGCAGCTTTTCATTAGAAGGCACAAAATGGCTAACAATCTCTTGTTACAGGGTCTTTTAAGACTAAACTGTCCAATTAAGAACTGACACCTAGATTATTTTCCCTTTTAACCCAATAACTGATCCCAAAGCCTGCAAGGTGGACTTTTCTGCCCAATTACAAAATGCCACCCAAACCCATGCAGAAGAAGGAAGAAGAAGCATGAAGAAGAAACCCAGGACAACACCCTGTGCCCTCCATCTTGCTTCCATCCACAACATACTAAAAATCCCAAAACCGAAATTTCTCACCAAGTGATACACCCACACTGCTCTCTATAATCTATTTCACACTTTTGTGGATTCCAGTCTATCTTGAAGTCTAGGAAACTTTCTCCATGAATGAGGGTCAAAGTCAGTGCTCCCCTGGGGATTAGGGCACCCCAGAGCAGACAAATATTCCTGGTGCCCTGGGCTTCGGCAAATTCAAATCAATCATTAGTCCCTGCTCCCCTAAATTGAATTCCTGACTATGAATTAACTGTCATAACCTTATGTCTCCCTTAAACATTCCTATTGTCACTTATCCTCAGTTTAGTATTCCAATTTAGGATATTTCCTATGTAGGCACTTGTGTCTGCAACCTACACTGGAGCAAATTACTGCTACAGCAGAGTACCTCATTATCCCCTTGGCTGATGGCAATACCTCATTACAAACCCTTACTTTTGTCTTTTGGTATTTGAGAAACAAACTTGGCATTTCAGGCTCTGCTGAGTCCTCACTCCAAATCTAACACCAGTATCAACATGAAACTTCCAGAGGGGCAGTAAGTCCTACCTGCTGTCAGAATGGTGCCACGACATTTTGCACTTTCAAAGAGGCCTCATGTGAGTCCTCCTTCATTGAGCTTCCCAACAGATGATTGGAAGATGATTCTCTTGCCTTTAACCTCAGCCAAAGCCATAATGCAGCTTTAAACATAATTAGTTTACAAAACTCCATGGGTAACTAGAATATCCCTGAAAATCAGATTTTGAGTTATTTGTTTGTGCTGATGCCCTCTGATTCCAGTTCTGACTGCTTAAGAGGATACAGAAGTTAATGTACCTGATCAACTGCTGCTTTCAGTTTGAGAACTGATCCATGCTGTACCAAAATCATGGCCTAGTTACACCAATACACATTAGGACCATAAATTATAATCTCGATTTCTGCTGACACAGGATCTTGACTCTATAAGTTTGGAAAGCTACAGACAGAGACCTAACTTTCAAACTGTAGTCTATCTCTGAACACCAAGTAACTTTCTCTGATTTTCTGAACTCTAACAGCCTTCCTTTTCCTGTTCAGGACTGTCCCTCAAGTTAAAACTACACCACTGCAGCTCAGCCCAATCCTACAAGCCTTGTATCTTGCTTCCCTCAAAAAGCAAAAGGTCTACCCTTAGCCCAGAGATAGTCATATTCCTTGCTACTAAATGTAAAACTTTTTCTGACTGTAGCAATAATCTTAGCTATTCAGTTTTTCCTGCTCTGACCCCTGAATTGAAGCTGAGCCACATCTTCATCCAGAATTTACTACAAAACATTAAGATTTTTTGTAAATTTCCATCATCTTAGCCACAAGGATATAAGATTATTTAAGCAGTAAACTACTTGTTCAGACATTACTGATTTAAACTTTAATATATTTTGCTGACAAGTGAATCCATCCTGGTCCAGACTAAAGTATGATACTTATTTCTCTCCACCAGAGCATTCTCATCAGCCTTGTGTGTCTCAGTTTTTTAGTTGTGTTCGAGGGTCCCCAGGATGAGGGAAGAGAAATGAATCTTGACTCTATGTTTCAGAAGGCTGATTTTTTATATTATGATATTATATTAAAAATGCTATACTAAAGCTAAACTAAAAGAATAGAGAGAAAGGATTTCATCAGAAGGCAAGGCAAGGAATGAATAATAAAAACCTGTGACTATCAGAGAGTCCAACACAGCTGGACCATGATTGGTCATTAAGTAGAAACAACTCACATGGACCAATCAAAGATGCACCTGTTGCATTCCACAGCAGCAGATAACCATTGTTTTTATTTTCCTCTGAGGCTTTTCAGCTTCTCAGGAGAAAAAATCCTGGCAAAGTGATTTTCATAAAATATCATGGTGACACTGTTTATTCATTATTCTTCTTTTGTCCAAATTGTATCCAAAACATGAACTTTACTGAAATATTTTAAGCAGTCCTGTGAACTAAATCCTCCTAAAATATAACCTAGGTCAGTCCTCACTCTGAAACAATTGCATATGTTGGACCAGTAATTGTCTTTCTCATCTATGAATGCTCTCCCTCCTGCTTTGGCAAGCAGATGAGCACGGGGTAAGAACAAACAAGGTGTTATAGTTGGGACTGGCAAGATTTGAGTTAGAATTAGATTTTGCTTTACTATTTAAGACAGCAGGGGTTGGGAGGAATGAACTTTAATATACAAAGGCCCTAACCTTCAAGTTAAGCAGCATTAGAGGCTATCTTAATGAGTGATGGCTTAGAAGATGAACAGGTATAAACATATAATCAGCTGTGAATTGGAAAATTGTGTAGATACTTGGTCTTGATAATGTATCAAAAAGAAAAATAAGAGTGATGGCTTAGAAGATGAACAGGTATAAACATATAATCAGCTGTGAATTGGAAAATTGTATAGATACTTGGTCTTGATTATGTGTCAAAAAGAAAAATTAGAGAATTAGAGTGGGGTTTTTTTTGGTTTTTTTTTTTTTTTTTTTTTTTTTGTAATTTTTTTTTTTTTTTTTTTTTTTTTGTTGTTGTTGACATACTATGGTTAGATTGCTGTTCTTATAGCTATTTATATAAATTTCCAGAAGAAGTAGAAAACCAATGGGGAAAAGTTTATCTAACTAGAAATACCTGTGGCTTGCTAAAGAATAAGAATAATTCTTCTATATATAAAATAACAGAGCTGAACATTTTTTTGACCTCTGCAGGAACCAAGGAGGAGCTAGGTGTTTGATGGAAGGAATGGTTCATTGATTATTTGTGAGACTGTAATTTGACAATCCAAACATTACTGTTGATTCATTAAATAAAGCTGACTACTATTTCTATTAAACAAGCTTGGCTCCTGCCTTTATGAATGCTACCTGGGTCTCTTCTGGAACTGAAAATCTGAAAGCACAGATTCTGATTAGATCACATTCTGATCTAATGACCTGCTTGGTTCTGTAATGCCAGTGACTGCCTCCAGGCCATCTGCGGCCTGTGACCCACATTAAGTCAGAAGACTGATAAAGAACTGGAGAGATTGATGTTAACAGGAGGATTTTATCCAGCAGAATTTGTATTAGAATTTGTGATTAAGACTGGAGTTCATGACTGCTGCCCCTATGAGGGTAGAAGCTGGTTTTCCCCTGAAGCCCATCAGAGCAAGGAGGAAAGACTGATATTATTATAAGAACATAAAAGTTACATCCTAACTCTGTGGATCTGTCATGATACATTTTGTTCTTTAAAACCTGCTACTTCTAGTCTTAACCCTAATGAAATTACAGTGCCACCACTCATCTCATTAATTCCTAACAGTCTTAAAACATTCACTTGTGAAAAACTCCTACCCCAGCCTCACAGGAGTGAGTAATAAATTTCCCAATGCCTTTGTGCTCTCCAGTCCTCTAACTCTAGTCCTAATCTCTTCTTGACAGTATACAGCCAAATCTGTCACTGGCTCAAGAATTAACATTAAGCTACCCGTTAGTGCTGTGACTGACTTCTATGAAAACGCCCAGCTGGGACTCTTTGTCAGACCAGGAGCTGTCAGGAGATCCCTGCTACCACTGCTAGAGCAGCAGGAAAATTTAGAACAGTGGAGACAGCTGTATATCTCAATAATGCTAAGATCAATAAAGGTTGTTGCTGACATGGGCAAATATCTTACACAGAATTCAGGAGGAGAACGAATTAGAACAGTTTTCATTATGGCTGTGGTTAGGTATGGAACAATCCCATCCTTGTGCCTAAAAATACTGCATGCCTAAAGGTGATGAGCAGTCCTGGAACAGGGAAGGTGAATCATGGGATGTTGAGGATTTCCAGATCATCCTTGTGCCTAAAAATACTGCATGCCTAAAGGTGATGAGCAGTCCTGGAACAGCGAAGGTGAATCATGGGGTGTTGAGGACTTCCAGATTATCCCTGGGAGAGGAAGAGAGGCTGGTTTGATCCCGCAAGGTTCAGGGGTGGGATTATCGAAGGTGAATCATGGGATGTTGAGGATTTCCAGATCATCCCTGGGAGAGGAAGAGAGGCTGGTTTGATCCTGCAAGGTTCAGAGGTGGGAATATTTTAGCCCAGAGTTAGATCTCAGGACAGCAGAGTTTGAAGGACTAACTCCTGGATTAATTCTGCCTCATTCAGCCTACAATTTATTCTGAGAGGGGTGAGTGCTTTGTTGTGTTAATGCTATTTTTAGGCCTGTAGTGGGGTTTGGGACAGCTGAAGTATGAGAATTAATGTCAAGTACGAATTCTGCCTGGCACATAGAGTGGCACTTTTAGATACATTTTGCTCTGGCCCTGCTTAGATGGAGCTAATAAACTCCTATGTTAAATAGAGGTTTGGCATTAGGCTTTAAGAATTATTGTATTTTATTGTACTAAGTAGAGTGAGTGCCAACAGAGGGTTGCTGATTGACTTCGTTAAAGGTAGTGTTACATTTGAGTCAGACTTTGTGTCAGTCTTTGGGAAAACTGCCTGAATTTATCTGGGGTTAGCTTAATTGCTTGACTATATGAGAATAAACTAGCATGAGGTAACAACAATGGTTTTTCTTTAGATTCAGATACTACCACTGGAAGGAAGGTATGCCCAGAAAATAACAAATCAAATGAGCTATATGTTTGTGATTGTTGCTTAAGTTAATCAAGGACATTACAGTATCTTGTTTAAATACCAATAACAGAATGTGGTTTAGAATAAGAATCAAGTCCAACCACTGTGTTTCACCGAGAGATCCTATAAAGCCTTCAGAGATAAGATGAAGGTCAATGCCAGCAGTGGCATTTGGCATTTGATTGATATCAGGACTGGGGAAGGTCACTGCACTTGCATTTAACGGTTGTGTTAGGGCAGGCACCTGAAAGAGCAGAGCCAGGTTTATCGATTGAATTTCCGAGATTAGCAGGGCTAGGATGGTATCTTAAATAGGTCATACTAAGTGCAGGGACTAACAAGAATTGCTGCTCTTCTGAGTTAAGTTTGTGATTAGAATTTGCTGTGTCAAGAACTAAAGAGCTGAGGCCAGCAGGCTGGAGAGGAGTCAAACTGAGAAGGTAGGCTTGTTGTTTGTTTTGGATGTAATTATCTCTGGGCTGTGACATATCTGATAAGATAACTATGTAGATTAAAAGAAAAAAAAAAGAGGGGTGGGATAGTCCAAGTTATGAAGAATTCTCATAATACCCATGCCTTGAAACTCATTGCATAACCTGACTTTTATTACAATTTATAAAGCTCAGGCTACCATGAGTCCCTTTCACTTTGAAGCTGCAAATGTTGCATAGCTCAAATAAATGTACCAAGAACAGATTTATCCTGCTCAGGTACAGCAGTGGATTTTAGCTAATAGGCATTCTGAAACTTAGAGCACTGGACAGCTCTAGCTGGGCACAGACTCATTCTGCACCTGAGGCGCATCAGGACTTATTATTTCAGATTTAGATGAGATTGCCCCGAAACACTTCACTGTTTTAAAGCAGATCTCAGTAAAATACAAAACAACACAAATCAAACATTGCCCTCAAAAAAATTAAAGAAGTCCAACCAAAATATGCAAATCTGATGATACAAAAGTTGAGAACATAATTGCAAGAAAATTTGGAATTGATGATCCATGAGTTTCTTTTCCAACTTAGAATATTCTGTGATCTGGAAATGAAGTTAAGAATATGTTTCTTTGCAACCATGGTGTGACTATTGTAAATGAAATATGTGGAGTTCAGAATTTTCTACATATATAGGTTTTCCTTTCCTATTTTTTTTTTTTAAAGTAAAAAATGACTAGAAGAAATTATACTCATAACTCCACTACTGGAAATATTAATAAAATATAATTATCTACCTTTGTTTCCAATGGAACTATCAGTTGAAGAAAATAAAAAAAACTTTTTGTAAAATCCCAGAAATTCTAATTTTTTATTATGAAATAAATATTCAATATGTAGCCATATAGCAGTTGAAAGGATCTAAATTAATGTGTAAACTCATATAAAAGCTCTGTAAAATGGTTTTGAACACTTGCTTTATAGAGGGGTAGACTGAATTCAAATGAGTTTACTAAATTTACTAATTTTCTCCATAAACAAAAGGAATTACTCTCTATTTGGAAGTCATGTGATGTAATTTTGGGAAGGATGTACCACCTTTTACATACACTGACTAGGTGAAGCCCTATTTCAAAACCAGGAAAATTCAACTGGCTGACCATGAGGATTTCTTTGCCTTTGGTTCTGTGATGAGTGAGAATGTACACTTGTACTAAAAGCAGCACAGAAACCTCCATTCCTGCCCATGGAAACACAGGGTAACCACAGGTGAAACATTCCAGGTAGGGCACTAGGATTTAGTGTGGTGCCCCAGCCAGCAGTGGTTATGCTGATTTTACCTTTTCGCTTTCTCACTGGCACCCATAGTGCTGCAAAGAGGTTGGCAGGGCAATGAAGGTCAGGAAATGCCCCGAGGTTACAATACTGCAAAGCCACTGCTACCCAAAACCCTGTTTCTTTGTCTCTGGTCCCATCTGAGCATCAGAGAGCAGTTGATCTGAGCATTTCTGAGCAGTCAGACTATGAAACAGCATTGACAATTATGTTTTATTAATGGAGTCTGGGCTCATTCTGGACAAGGACAATGCTGGAAAGGAAGAAAAGCTGATGGTCAATAGTGAACAGGTTGACCTGAGCTCAGAAATCTGATCAAACACCCATTTGTGTCAATGGAGTGATATCATACCTGTAATCCTAATAAGTTAAAAAGAGGAAAGAATTAGGACTTCAGAGCAGAAGCTAGCACTGATAGAAAGATTTTAAGGGAATTTTCTCATCTACCACAAAAATTTTAAATGAACCCTGAGAATGGAAATTTTCATACTGAACTATGGTAACCTAAATAGTCAGCATATACTACATGTTATGCTCCCTTTTCAAGTAGAGATAGGCATCTACAGAATAGGAATAATTCCTCCTGTTTTAGCTCTTGAATAGTCCTTGGATGGATTATCCTCTGGAGACACCCTAGCCTCCCAAGTTTGTTTGAAGTAATAACAGAGTAGGGAAGAAAGTATGTGGTTTTATCTGGAATTACCTGTTTGTCTGTTGAAATTGAACCATAATATTTCAGTTGCAAGCACTCCAATATTAGAATGGTAGCAAGTTCAAAGAGGTCATAACCCTGTCTCTGACATTTGGATAGTTTTAAAATTAAAAAAAAAAAAAATCTGAGGAACAGGAAATATTTTTTTTGGTCTTTAACTTAGAGACCCAGTTAGATCCTCTGCATCCTACTTTATTCCTCTCTCACATTATTAGTGCATTCATCATCTTACAAGTGTGTGCAAGTACTTTTGAAAATACCGTATGAGGGTTCATGGGGTCTGCTGTCTGTAAAATCATTCTGCCTGACATTTTTATAAAACCTTCACCAGAAGTGCTCCCATGAGCTTTTACCCATTTAGATGAGGTCAGTATGTTCCTGCTCCTGTCAGGTAAACCTACTCATTTTTCTGAATATGAAATGATTTTCTAAAAAATGTCAATTGTAAAACAATCTTAACTGCCGTAATATAGCCCATGGTAAGGATGGCTGTTCTACAACCAGCTTTGTGTAATCTTGTCCACTTAAGTGAAAAGTAATGTGCATATATCTGCTTTAATCTCGATCTTTGAAAAATATCAGGCCACCAGACATTAAGCAATTCCTTGTGAAACTAATTTTGTAAACAGACATTTGCATTTCATTACATATATATTAGCATAGAGTGATTGACATCAAGTTTTTCCAGGGTTCATGTTCTCAGGAATTTACATTTCATAACAACTTTATTTTGTAAGCAGAGAGGGATTATGTTTCTGTTCCTCAGTCAGGTTTAGCAATGTGAACAGCCCTGGCCAGCAAAGCAGGCAGTGCTGAGCACGCCGTGTCCATGGTACACACATTTCAAGCATGGGGAGGAAAAGGAGGTTTCAGGCCAAGTCTTGTCTGGTTCCATGGCCTGAGCTCCCACTCAGTGAATACCTGGAGAGCTCAATGAGGTTCAGTTCCATCCAAAGGAAGTTCAGATCAAGCATGCTGAGCCAAATTCGTGGTGTGCACCAAAGCATCATAAGGGCAGGGCATTGGAGAAACATTTTGAAATAGTATTCCTCATCCAAGTAAAGCAGGAATGTGTGAATAGGCCTCAGGAAAATGTTAATGAAAATAAAACAAATGTTGTTTTCACCTGCTTTGAGCTTTGAAGGCACAAGAGCCAATTTACCTCTCACCATCACCAGCTGGCAATGGAAATGAAGCAAAGACATTCCTTTTCTGCTTGCTTATCAAACTGAATTATCTTAAATTCTGCTTGCTGGCACTATAACAGGAAATTTTGAGACTTATGCAAACACTGCTAATTGCAGACATGATACCAAAACATATCCAGGTGTGGAAATAAATTCCTTATAAAGTGAACAGCTGTGGAAATAATCCCCTTCTTATTGAACAAATTGCTGATTCAGAATCAGGTTATCCTCTTCTTTCATTAGCAGCAGAAGTGTTAAGGGCAGCAAGGCACTCTGGGAAAAAAATACCAGGCACCCAAGCAAACGTTTTTCCTTTGTGAACTGCTGAAAAGTTAATGCTACCTATTCTATCTATTGTAACAAATCTTTATTGAAATCACCCAACTGGTAGCAACCAAAGAAATGTGTGATATAAGAAGCAGATTATCCTTTGAGTTTTATATAGAATATATGGCTTGAAAAAAATTAAAATATGAGAAAATGAATTAAAAATGACTTAAAAAGAATAAATACAGACCATGGAAAATGTCAGTGTGAAAAGGCCTTTTACTGATTTAAAATTTAATTGAATTTCGAAACGTTCCACTTCAGTCAAATGCTGAGGAAGCTCTGTTGTGTATTCACAATTTCCTGGATGTCCTAGAACTGATTGATGGCAAGTGAGTTATCATTCTGTCACAAGAGACAGTTATATATGAAAAGAAAAAAGAAATATTTTCGGAGCATGAAAACTGCAAGTGTATTTAGAAAGAGACTTTTTTTTAATATCGTGTTGTTGCACTTTCTTAATAGGTAAGACATCTGTGATCTATCACTTGGGCCTTAACACTCAAATAGATTTTGAAATGCTGGTATTCAGCAGTTTATTCCAAAATTACACTGGGGATATGAGTTTAAATGCTCTCATTTAGGTAACAGTAACATATTATGCTTTAATCAATACACAGAAGCAATTGTTTACTGTTTGTGATAGTTCATGTTGTTTAATTCTGAGAATTAATGACTTGGATAAAATGAAGAGTAAAAGCCATATTCTAATTTGTGAGAAGGGCAAGTTTAGGTTTCATAGAATTGCAAACTGTTAAAAGAATGAAAGACAAGAAAATATCACTGCAATCACTACAAGACATAATTTCAGCTTGGAGGGAATTTTTAAAGTACTGCAATAGGGAAAAAAATAAAATAAAATTTGTGTTAGTCAAAGCACAAACCAGATTTTTAATGAGGCATAGAAAAGTCTCATAAAAACCACTGGAAGGTTGTTTAAAAATGCCCAGTTTTGGTTCATAAAATTTACAGCTCTCAAGGGCATTAATTTTTAAGGGTTTCACATGACTTACAAGTCATGTAGCCTGTCTCAGTCCATAATGAAATGTGAAGTATTAGCATATTTACCAGTTAATATTGGAGACAGAATCATGGGGTTTATAATGAGCACACTGGGTTCTGTGTTTGGGTTTTTTTCCCTCCCCTCCTGTGGTAAAACATGCTGATCAGACCATATCCTCAAATAAAATAGCAAATAGTATTACTGTTCTTCAACTATTGAGTCATACTTGCTACTTCTTCCATTTAAACTTCCATTTTCTCTTCCACAACCTACTGCATTCACTTTTGATTTGCTATGAGCTTGGTTAGTTATCAAAATAAATCAAATGTGATAATGTATTGGTACTGGATTGCCATTGTAAATATAAGTTAGAAGAGTTGGTTTTAGTTTTAAAAGTGTAAGTCAATAAAATCAAACTTTATATGCTACAGAGTGTCCAGAAAAACAGGTTTTTGTCTCTAACACAGAAGAAAAACATATGGTGCCACTGTTTTTAGGGATCTTCTAATAGGCACTAGACCTGTGCTTTTTGGGAACAAATAGATTTGAAACTTTGTGTTATTTTAGATTTAAACTTTAGAACAATAAAATCTCTGGGAACTTAAACACTGAAATTAAGAAGATTCTGATTTACTTTCTCCTCAACAGAAACATTAATCTTTCTTTACAGGTCCTCCATTGGAATATTTCAAGTCAGGTTCCTGCTAAGAAAAAGCTGATCAGTGTCATGGTACCAGGGTATGTTCTCAGTGTCATGTGTTCCATTGGATGCCGTGGGTGTTCTTTGAAATGTGAATAGTCATAAATAACAAATTCCACTGGAAGTTGCCTCTCAGGTAGGTCAGACTCTAGAGCAGGACAGGTGGGACAGCCCAGGCCATGACTGCCAGTCTTGCTGGGATACACATAAGGCTTTCTTCAGGGTCCTCAGCTTTTACATGATACCCAAGGGCTAGAAAAAAAGGGCCTCTGAAATTCACTGTGTTCCTAGAAACTAAAGCAGATAGCTTTCCAACTTCCCATATATGTCCCAAAGAGCTAGGGATGCAAAAATCTAGAAATGAGAACATATTTAATTTTTTCAAAGTGTTATATGTAAAATCTACGTGCTTACATGCAAAAGTTGTATAATTATTCCCATCAGTTTTATCTTCAGGAGGAAGAATAAGGTTGTGAAAATGAGTAAGCATTCACATGATTGCACATTTTCATGACGACCAGGTTATTCATGTTTTTAGAGAATATCTGTACTTACAGTGAGTGCAAATCTAAGTTGAAGAGGACTGTGAAAAAGAGGAGAGGAAGGGAGGGGAAAACTGCACTGTTGCTGCCACCCTTCCCAGCATCTGCCCACATCAGGGAGTGGCAGAAACAGGTCTCTGCCTCCCCAAAACCCTTAGGCAGATGTGCTCTGCCTTGGCATGCAGGGAGATGCCTTCTTCAAGGGCCACAAGGCAATCTGTGCAGGCTTCTGAGCTTTCAGATGTGGATGCTTCCACTCTAATTCGTATGGGTGAAGGCACTGGGTTAAACACAACCTCACTGTAAGTTCTCTAAAGTGAAAGCTAATCTTTAGCCAACAATTTGAAATAAAAAAAGATTTATCCTTTATTTGTGTCTAAACTCCTCCAAAAATTTGGAAAGATTTTTTCCCCCAAATACAAAGAGAAGATAGTCCTGGAGACAAAAATACAGAGGAAGCAAACTGAAGGGAGAAAAAAAGAGATTGGTGTGGAGCTGGGTTTTCCATTATTTGCAATATGTATTTGTGGCTCAGCTTATTTTTAGCCACTTTTTCTGTTGCTAATGAAAATGTACCTGTTATTCTTGGTAAACCCAAAAATGTTATCTTTGTCTCAGCTGCATCATTATCATTAGGTTGCTGTGCTGCTGTCCGAGTTTCTCTACTCGCCCGGGCAGGGAGGAGGTCTCGCTGGCTGAGCTGAAGGCACGGCAGCCGACAGCCGGGGGGCACTCCCTAGATGCGCCGGGGCGTCCCGGGAGCGCCTCAGCAAGGGGCAGCAGGGAGCAGCAGGCAGGCGAAGTAGAAGAATGAAGACAGGGACCCTCCTCGCGGGTAAAATCCAGAGCCTTTTATTAACTCCAGGCGCACCAGCCGAGCAGGGACCACGAGGCAGGAATACAGCAGCTTATAAAGGGGGTGGAAACACGACACATTGACCAATGAGGGAGAACTAGGGAGTGAACAAACTTGTGAGAAACATGCCGGCTAGCCAATAGGAAATGTGACAGGGAGGGACCCTTGTTCCCGATCCAATCCCCCACCGAAGAAAGGAGAACTTTCTGGAATATGGGAAGGAGACAGTGGGTGATGGACAGAACTTGGGGAGGGATTGACAGAAGGTAACCAGGGAAACAGGGGAGGAGAGAATGAATTGACACTCTCAGAGAGAGAGGTTCCAGGGGAGGGGGAGAGGGGGATCCCAGGACTGAACCATTATAGCTTTAGGGGGGAACAGAACACACCAAATGAATCCTGCACCACAACATTAGGTGTTCCTGATAATTCTCTCTCTGAGGTCCCCATACCATATAAATGGAAGGCTACTGTCATTGAAGCTGAAGTATGTTTTATTAAAAAAAGTTATTTATATTTAATCCAATTATATCGATGATGTAATGCATGTCATGTATATTAACCAGCTATATATACAGCCTGATATGCAGAGATATTAAAGAAAGTACTGATGTGTGCCCACTGTTGGGTGTGTTCCCAAAAAGCCCTGTCACATTCCATCACTCATTCATGGCACAGAGCCCGAGTTCAGTGGAGCTCCAGCTGCTGACCGGCCCGATGCTGCTGCAGCCACTATCAGGGGGTTTCTAGGAAAGGCTGTGGCAGTCTTCTGCATCAGGTGCCATCTCTGCAAGGGCATCTGGAGTTTTTACAGAGTGCCAGGAAAATCCATTTAATAAGCACGTGCTGGAAAATATCTCAAGTGACACAATATGCTGGCAGTTTTCTTAAGGAGCCACTAGTATGGATTTTTCCAGAACATGGACCAAAGCATATTTGAAGAATATAGAAACTGAGTAAACCTGGTAGGTATCCTGTCTGCAAGAAAATTCACAGCCTTTCCAAAATATGACCATGAAAGTAATAATAACAATCAACTCCCCCCTACACACACTAGAGTGTGCTCTGTTTTAGAGACCATGATACTCCATTTCAACTAATCCGATAGCAATGCCTCCTGAAAAACATAAGGAGACACCATACAAATTTAGTCCATGATATTACGCACACGTTCCACCTGAAGCTCATTTCTTGTTACCTGCCTGTTGTGTTGGACCCTGACAGGCTGCATAAATAAGCAGTAATGTGGTTAAGAATGAGATCCACTGTGTTTTACACGTAGCATAATTTTTATTGTTGTATGTGTGGAACAACAGGTGCATCTAATTCTTGACAGAGAAAGAGCTACTCTCTTAAAACTGTCAGCCATTTTTTGCACAGCTCTTTTAAAGAGCATTCAAGCAAATTAAAAGTAGAAGTTTCCAAAACTTGGCAGTGGATGGAGCTTCATACTGAAGATGACTTTCTTTTCCAGATCCTTTGAGTGCTTCTGTCATGGCTGCTCAGAGCTCTCGTTCTATTCTCCCAAACTGGGGCCGTAGTGTTTTATTCTGGATGGTGACATGGTCTGTGGGAACAGTCTACCGTGATACTCATTGCTTTTCTGAATTTAGGCTCTCATTAAAGTGGAGCCCCATTCTGTTTTAGTGAATCTATGTCACCTTCCTAGCAAGGCTCGTGTCTGGAGTACGACAGGGACTAAAAGGGTGTGAATGCCTACCCTGTTGCCTCTCTCTGGATGCAAACCTAAGAGACAACTGCAAAGGAGTGTTTAGTTTGTTGCTGCTTTTTAAAGGAACAAATTAACATAAATTGTTAATATCTAGTACTCCATGTCATTTAGGGTAATAATTTTGAGAGGCATGCCGTGTGAGTAATATTTAAAGTCACTCTGGCTTTAGTTTCACTTTTCTACATTGCTCAACTGAAGTTTGGATTCTTTTTTATTATTGAAAACAGATATAAACACTGATAGAAAAGGATTAAGTTATTTGTCTAGGGTAACTTCATGTTTCAGAATTTTAGAAAGTTCAGGTTTTAAAAAGCCATAACAACTTTTTAAAACTTTATAATTATACATTTAAAATTCTATTAATATTAAAGTTTCAAATTCTAAAAGCAATTAATTTTTCTTAATTTGATAAAAGTAATTAAAGCATATTTTAAAATTAATCTTCTAAACTCTAAGAATGTGAATTTTGATGTTAAAACAAATGGGACTATTGAAAATCTTAGATCTCATATGTGCTATAATTTGGTAATTGCTGGAAAATTAGTTTGAGACACTCTATTAAAGATGCTGCAGAAACACCATGTGATCACAGGAATGAACACAGAAGGAACTTATGACTTTGTTTGTATTGCTTATGAAGGTGATAATTTAGGTTATGCTTTAAGGTAGCTGGAGAATCACTCTCCCTCGGTTACCAAAATGGATTTTTTCTTACCAGCAAGATGATGATATTGGAAGATACGGAATAGGGAGGGCGAAACAAGGGACAGATCAACATTGTATGAAAAATCATCCACCTGAAAAATGAATGAACACAAGTCTTGACAATAATCTCCTATGAATTACCTTCAAAGTGCTTTGTTGTGAAATTTCTCTCTGTCCTAGATGGCAGACTCCAATGTCAAGCCTGCCCCCAGAATGTGCATCAATATTCCTTGTTGCTGGAGCAAGAACTATCAGACAGAAGAGGAAATCTGGATGCTCAGCCTGAATGCGGACTGTGAAGATTAGAAAAAAAAAATGTATGTGCACATAGATTCTTTTAATTTAGTTTTGCTGATGACTTAATCTAACAAGAAATTATGTACCCATACATAACATTACTGAGAACTGCCTTAGAGATCTTTATAATATTCAGACTGTTACAAAATGACTGTTTCATGCCTAAAATGCTTTAGGTTAGTGCTGCTTTTGCTCAAATCAGAGTTTATTCTTTTATTCCCTTGGGGGTTATTTATTTTTTGTGAACTTTTCATGCGCCTGCTTGTGCTGGTTTTGGCTTGGACAGAGCTAATTTTGGCTTTGGTAGAGCTATTTTTCTCCATAGTAGCTGGTATGGGACTGTGTTCTGGTTTCTGCTGGAAACAGTGCTGGTTACACGGGGGTGTTTTGGTTATTGCTGAGCAGTGCTTGCACATGCCAAGGCCTCCTCTGTTCCTCACCCTCCCCAGTGAGGAGGTTGGGGTGCACAGGATGTTGTGTGGTCACAGCAGGGACAGCTGACCCCAGCTGACCACAGGGATATCCCAGATCATCTGATGTGTATGGCTCAGCACACAAAAAGGAAAGGCAGGATGTTCAGAGTGATGTGTTTGTCACTGCATGGTGGAGCCCAGCTTTCCTGGGATGGCTGAACACCTGCCTGCCCATGGGAAGCACTGAATTAATTCCTTGCTTTTCTCAGCTTTGCTTGTGTGCACAGCTTTTGTTTACTCATTATCTTTTGTTTACTCATTATCTACTCTTTATTTCAACCCACGAGTTTTTTCTTACTTTTACTCTTTTGTTTCTCCCTCTTTTGACCACGAGCAAGTAAATGAGTGACTGCAGGGGGCTTGGTTGCCTGCTGGAGTAAACCATGACAGTGCTGCAATATGTTTGAGAGGTATGTCATGTATTCTGCCCCCAGTAGATGCCAGAGAGTTCCAGCTGAAATATGCTATGCTTGATGCAGAAAATATTGCTGAAAACACTGTGCCTTTTCCAAGACAGGTATCTGTTGGACCTGGGCTTGCTTGATAGAACAGAGCTTTGTCAGATTGTGTTTACAAGTTTGTGTACAAACGATATGCAAAGCCTAACATGAGAAATTTGAGCCTAAATACAGACTTTACTCAACTTTCAGGTCTGTGTGGGATTAGTGCAGTAGTTGGTATCAGCATCAGTACAGCACCATCAAGAAAACAAGAAGATAAGAATGGTAAAAATAAAGGTTTTCTGAAGATGTTAAGTCAGAAGCAAGAATTTTTGCCCTGTTTTCGCAGTCTGTAGCACTGTCTTCTTTAGTGCACCTGCCATCTGTATCATGGTAAAACTTCAATAAATTTAAATTGCTGTATTTTTTCCATGTATCTGAACCCAATAACAATGAAAACCATTAAAATATGTATCTGACTCACAATACATTGCAAATTTTATGAAGTCACTTCACCTACTTTATCAGATATTTTGTTTGTTTGCATAACTACTCCTGTCATATATTTATAAATTACTTGTTCCTCTTGGGCATACTTTTTCTCCTTTAATCCTTCAGGAAATTCAGAAAGGGAAAGAACCAACAACATTAAAACTAGCCCATTTAATTCCAAAGAAAAGGACTAGCAAGAGATTCTGAGACATTAAAGGCAGACAAGGAAAGGAAAAAGTTTTTATTAATAGATGTGAATCTTCCTTAAAGGTAGGTGTCTCAATACAGTTTTCTTTTCATGCTTAAGCAACTACAGATTTTTCCTCAATTTAAGGGCCAGTAAATTAATGAATAGGTATGTTTTCCAGGTTTTTATAAAAACCTTCAAACATCATGACAACAAATAAATTAAATTGAAGAAAGCACAATAAAGTAGTATAAGGACAAGAGAAGGACTCTAAGGATTTTCTAACCTTTAATCAAGGCTGTAAGAAATCCCTTTTATTTGAGACATGTTCTCAGATATGCATCTTGATAGCAAAAAAAATCCTACCTAAGGGATTTTCTGCATACTCACCTCCCACTGAAATCTTTGCATGGTTAAACATTTCTTCTCAGGTATTAATCTCATATTCTGTCCCATCCATGCATATGTTGTATGGATTTACAATGAAGTCATGAGGGACTTCTGAAAACTCTGCAATAATCTGGTGTCAAATCCTTAAAGAAATTGTGTCCAGGATTTTTCTCAATCTCCAAGTAAAAAAAAACCCAAAAACTGTGGAAACAATCCCCAGTAGTATTTTTATCTTTTCTGAGAAAAATAAAATTTGCTGTTAGTACTTTACTTAATTGCTTTGGAAAAGTGTCTGAAGCAATATGTGACCAAAACACAGAACAGTGCAAAAAAATTATTCATCTACAAGACAAAAGGGAGGCTACATCCACTGAAAAAAACCCCAGCACATTCTGAAACCCAATGCCTTTGGCTCTCTCATGTTTGTTGGGAAAATCTAATAGTTAATTTGTTGGAGAGGTTGAAGCTGCAAACTTTAGGCAACATCTGAAAGGAATGAAGAGAGGAGCTATATGATTTTGGACATCGTCTTCATAAACAAGCTGCTTACCCACAGGCTACAGTCATTTTTCCTTTGGACTACTGAATATTTAATTACTGTATACGAAGTAGAATGGCTTGAATGGAAGGAATCTACCCAGCCTCAAAAATCTGTACCTGACAATGCTTAAATCAGTCCCATTGCCCCTGGCAGGAACAGAGGAGGAAAAAGCAAAGCCACAACAACCCTTGCACCAGTCTGAGTTTGAGAAGGAGTTTTCATAGACATTGAGCTCAGGGGCTAAATTTCTGCTGGGGACAGACAATCTATATTGACCTGAGGGAAATGTCTAACTCCAGACATTTAGGAGAAAGGCACACTTTATTGTATATGTTTGCTCTCACAGTTTTGTATCCTCTGGCATAAATGCTCATTACTCTGTGTGTTATTTTCTGTGATTTGCCTTCTTAAACATGAGGTTTTATTCCTGTACAGTGCAAAGAACATAAACCCTTAGGAAGAGCTGTGAATGTTGCCAGGTAACTGTGCACTGTAAACTTGGGCACTGAACTGTCAGTCTGCATTTTGAGATTAACTTCTCCTGAGCTGTGTCAAATTCCTCCATAAGGACACAGCATCCACCTGTGTTTTGACAGGTGGCAGTGACACTGACACCAAAATACCCAACAATGGGCAGAGCATACCAACAAAATTATACTTTTGTTTTTTCTTCTCCATCCAACTTGAGGTATCAAAATCAGTCTTTTCCAACCTCCTTCTTCATTCTTTGCTCTTCAGGTCAAACCCTACCCCTGTGTATATTTTTGGATCCCCACCTATTTCCCCATTCCCTTGGTGACAGCTGTATAGTCACATTACCTTCATTTGGAGTCAGTTGTGGCACCTAGGCAACCTGAGGGCATCAGTAAATTGGATCATTGCCTCAGATTGCACTCATTGTTATTTTGTTTATTTCTGGGGAGAAACCTTCATTTGAACACAGCTGTAGCTGCCTATAACAGCAGGAGAAATAAAATCTTACATTTTTAACCATATTTAACAGATAATACTCTGCATAAGTAACAGAAATGGTCCTGTTTCATAGGTAAAAATGAAAAAAAATTAATTTAGGTACTTTTGCAGTGTTGTTCTCTGCCCCAGCACCTTTTCAAGAATCTGACTTAAGTTGACAGAAGATACAAAGATTTAAAATAATGCCTGACACATCATCCATAATCCTTACTGTGGTGCCATCCTCTTGCCCTCTTTCAATTTAGTTCAATACAGTGGCAGGTAGCAAGGACATGTCAGGTGCCTTCACCTTAGATTTCTGGATTCTCTTAGACCACTGGTAATTTGCATTTAATTGGTACATTCCATAACTAGAAAGGTACTTCTGTGTGGACAGTACACACAGGCACAAAGAACCAAAAAAGGAACTATGTGGGAACTAAGATAAATGAAAGATGCTTCCCCTGGGTGAAGCAAGACAAAATAATATTGAATCATCTGCGCACAGATTTTACAAGGGAAATATTGAAGGCTCAAAATTCAGTTAACAGTACCTTAATTGGTATTTCTTTGGCTGTGATTATTTGGTTGATATTAGACCTAGATAACCAGTGCTTTCTAGAGAACAGCAACCATCTTTAAACATAATGCCGACATATAAGCACCGAACCTCTGCAAACTGGCATTATTTTCTTGGCAATGCACGCAATGACAACTTAGGAGAGAAACAGGAAAGCTTTCCGGAGAGTGATGAGAGGAACCCATTGCAGATCACCGCGGTTCCGTGCCGTGGGTGCAGCTGGCCAGGCTCAGGTGGCAGGGGAGCTGTGAGCCCCGGGAGCCCAGGCTGCAGCCGGGCTGTGACCCCACAGGGGACCCACGCCAGAGCAGCTCGCAGGAAACTGCAGCCTGTGGGAAGGGCTCACACTGGAGAGGCTTTGGGAGAATTCCCATGGGAGGGACTCCATCCTGGAGCAGAGGAAAAGTATGTGGAGAATGAAATGGCCCCCTGGGCTACTGAGAGAGGAGGTACAGAAGCTGGGAGTGAAGCTGAGCCTGTGAGGAACAGAGATGTGTTTATAGATTTGTTAGTATTTCTCATTATTCTACTCTGGTTTGATAACTAATAAATTAAACTGATTTCCCCAATTTAAATATTTTTTTTTCATGGCAGTAACTGGGGAGTGATTTCTCCCTGTCCTTATCTCAACAAAGAAACCTTCCATTAAATTTTCTGTCCTTGTCTTCAGGAGTGGGGCAGAAACTTCAGCTTCAGGATACCCAGCAGTCAGCCAAGGTCAGTTCAGCAAAAGAGAATAGAGAGAAAATCTGAGATTCTACAGGAATAGTTTCACAATAAACAAAAAAACAAACCAGCAAATAAACAAAATAAAATCACCATAGCAGTATGGATTGAGATATGTGAAATAAGAGAATCATTCAGCAATTGAGAAAATTCAGTTAAAATAAAAATGGAATATCTTTAGTGGCCTGTCTTTAAATCTTATCTTGAAAGCTCCTAGGCATTAGGAATAGTTGCACAAGATAGCATCTCAATAGTTCCACTACAGAGAAATGCCTCATGGGAAAAGAAAACAAAATGATAGCTTCACTTTTTTTTTTTTTTTTTTTTTAAACTTAATTTTTAGTGTATTGATCCAGATCAGGAACCTAGGATACTCAAAATTCTTTTCAACAGATTCAAATAACATTACCATTAAAACATGGTATTTTTGAGGCCTAAATCATGTATTGGAAAAGCTTGTTCAATAGAACAAAAAACCACCAACAAAACAACAAAATCCTCGAAAAAGCTAATGACTGGCATTTCAAATGCAAAGTGAAAGATTTACTGATATATATCAGCTTTTTCCCTTTTTTTTTTCTCATATTGCACTACTAATAATGTAGTTTTGTTTCAACTTGTGAATTAGCTGAGTCTCATTTTCAGATGGCACAAAATAAATCTCATGCTTTGCTTTCTAATAGGATTTTTTGTTTATGTGGGCTTTCCTTTCCTTTCCTTTCCTTTCCTTTTCCCTTCCCTTCTTCTAGTTCCATAACCTGTCACAGTTTGATACTTCACATCAGAAGTTGCTGCAGCCTTGGAGAAGCATATGTGCTGATTCACGTTCCAGCTCTGTTTTCTCCAGAAAAACACTCAAGATTACAGTTAAATTAGGTCAGTAGTTTGATTGAAAATGCAGAAGAAATTATTCAAAACACCTTTCTTATTTATGGTATAGAAATTAGGAAAAAATAAAGATCAGGGTTCAGAATAACTTTTATAGAAGGTTTTGTGTTCAAGTAGAGATATTTTTTCTTTCTCCACTGGTGAATTAAAGCAAACAAATGAACAAACAAACAAACAAACTGAAACAACAAAACAAAACCACCAAAAAACTAGCAAAACCCAAACCAACCAACCAATCCAAAAAAAGAAAATTGGACATTTTTTTTTCTAGAATGCATAGTAAAACTATCCCAAAATACTTCTTTTAGAGTATTTATGCTTTAAGATATACTCCAAAATATGTGAAACTCATGATAAGATCATGAGAATTAACAACTTTTTGTCCTGGTTTGCAGGAAATGTGCAGGAAGAGCTGGGGCACACAGTGACTCATCTACATGAGTTAATTAAACATTGCCTGTGGTGCTCTATTATCTCACTCTCATGCTGTTAAAAGGGTCTCTGGCACGATTTTACTCTGGGCCACCAAGGGCTTTCCTAGTCAGTGCCTGAGCAAGTCTGCATGATTGCTCCTAATAGACAATTTGGATCAGACACCTCTTTTGGATGCCAGAAGAGTTTTAATTCTATTGATGCACAAGCTGGCCCCAGGGCCAAAGAATGGGCCAGTCACCATTTCCTTTGCTACTTTCAAGGTGACCAAAGTGAGGAAGCCTTGTGAAAATACATTTGGAAAATGTGTAGGGAAAAGCGGTAGGGTCACTGGGAGAATTCCCTCCACGTAAAGAATAAACAAAAAGCTAAGAAATACAATAAATGAGATACACATTTGTAAAGCAAACTTAGAAGTCTATGGTCAGATAATATCAACAACACCAAAAGTCAAGCTGATTTAGAACTTGCAAATTAACTTTTACCATAAAAATTGTCATATAAATAATCAAGATCAAAAAAGCTGTCCAATCTCTATCCTGACTCCTACTATGTGGTAAGGACTAAGCACAAATTAAAGGTAGTGTTGGCATGTACCCAAATGTAAATTAAAGTTTTGTCTTTTTTTTGATATGATTGATGAAAAAGGTGAGTCAACTATCTCCCAAAATAATGGGAGACACAGTAGGCAAGCCGAATTACTAAATCTAAGACTAGTAAAACTCAATTTGGAGATATTTCAATTTGGAGATATCCATTCCAGAGGACTAAAAATATTACACATTTAATCTAAGTCAAATACCAGGAATTGTTAATACATTTATAAGGCTGATAACTGTACCTCTTGGCTAAACAATTGGAGCTTTTTCCATTTAATATATGGAAAAAGTGTAATAGCTGAGCTTATCTGACTTAAACAGTAGGCAGGGCTTTGGATTATTTAAAAAAAATACTGAAAGGTACAGAAGCAAATAAAAATGATGATGAGTAGTGTGGGTCTATCTGTGCATTGTGCAATAGCATCCAGGTAAGGTCTTTTAGAAAATGAAAATAAAATATAACTAATTGTAGAGAACCAGAACTAAGCATGTTTTTTCTCAAATTCTGATTGTTATGACAGGAAAAACATGATTGGAGCAGAGTGTCCTGTGGTGGTGAGGCAGTGCTGGTCTCAGCTGACTTCCTGCTTCGCCTTGAGTCTCATGCTCAGCTCCTGCCACCCCTAAAACAACCTCCTGCAAAAGAGCTGGCTGAGCACACATGAACCAAATGCATGGAAAGGCTGATTTTCATAAGAGGTGTGCACCTGGTGAACTAAATAAGGGAGTGGATTGGGTCCTCTCCTCTCCTCTCCTCTCCTCTCCTCTCCTCTCCTCTCTCCTCTTTCTTTGTCCTGCAGCTCCAGCTCTGAAACATCCACTTGGCAGGACCAGCGTGGGATCTAAAGGCTGCTGACATTCTTTGTCTTCTGAGGAAAACACGTCTATCTTATTTTACCCCTTGCTCCATACTGAACACTGTTGTGGGATCTGGGGGATTATGGAGGTGTGGTGTGACTTGTGAGCCACAACAGGTGAATACTGAAGTGTACTGTACAAAATCAAGGCCTTATTTGCCTCCCCTCTTGAGGAAATCTATTGTACAAATTTAAGGGCTTGTTAACCAGTGTCCTTCCAGTCTGAACAATGGGCTGGCTGCCAAAGTTATGGTGGCTGTACAATAAAGCCTAAGAGCTCCTTGACAATGAGGTCTGGTGTCTTTCTTCAGCCTAATGAGAATTTACCAAACACCACCACTGGGTTGTGACACTGGTCAATCCAGATTTCAGTAAAACACACATGGGACATTATTAGACAATACAGGTAAACTGATAAAATAATAGAAAAGAGGATTATGTTGGACTATATTGAAAGCAAATCTTTTAGTTGGGAGAGGCTGGTAATGAAGCTCTTAGATGAGTATTGAGGACAGTCTTTGCATCCTGACCTTGCTTAAATTTGGAAAAGTTCTGATTCACAGCTTTGGGATGCACTGTCAATGAATAAGTCTAAGAATACCACACACAAACATCAGAGGACTTTAAGAATTAACTAAAGCCTGGCAGCTGATGAGGGATTGTAATAATTGCATCCAAAAAAACAACCACTAAAAATAATGACCAAGCCCAAAACCTTATGTATAGAACACTATGTATAGAGCATGTAGCTCATCATTAGGCAATTCTGAGTCATTGTTCAGAACATTAATTAAAAAAAAATTATTATTTTAATCAGGAAAACTACACGTGAAATAGAGATAGTCATATCAGTGACACTTTACAAAGCCTCGGTGGAAGATTTCTTGTAGATCCTCAACAGCATACCACACCAGAACCATCACACAGAAACCTTTTAGATGCTGAGGGGGAAGAGAATTATGGGAAGACCAGACTATCTTGTCTTGTTTATCATAATTTAAAAAAGGCCAAGATGCACAGATGATACATATTACCTAATATATTCTGAGTAAATGCAAAGAATGAGAGAATTAATTGTGCATAGAAAAAAAATTGGCAAAGAAAAAATATATTCAGGGTAAATATATAGTGACTTGCAAATGGTAGAAATTTATGGCCTGGAACAATAAATACAAGAGAGTAATAATAAAAAACTACTTGGATTAAAGTTTAAGAAATGTACCACATTGGGTACTTAGGGTACTTACAGTAAGGACTGGACTTGACAGCCAGTAGCATTTTTCCTAACACAATATTTGTAGGACTGTCCTTTATTCCTCTTCTGTGGCACCTTCAAGAGCTATCTGAAGTAGGTACCAAGACATTCTTTGGACTTCTTTTGTGTCGTGTCTTTTTCATAACTTTTTATAACTTTTAGAGGAGATTTCCATTTCTACTTCACACGTTCACAATTTATTTTCCAAAGTGCCACATCCTACAAATTATTTTAAGACAACAAGATTCTCAGGGAGAAAAGTTTTCCCAGAAATAATTTCACAATTGAATAATGGGTGGGGAAATTAATTCACAACCACTTATTCACAACCTCCAATTATTCATTTATAATTCTGGAAAGAGGGTGAAAATTTCTCCCTCATACAATTAAAGTGACCTACAAGCAGTAGTTAGCAGGAAATCAACTTGTTTCTTGCTGTTTCTGAGTGGATTTTTTTTGATCAAAACTAATATAAGGATGAACAGTAACAAAAATTCCTGACCTGTGAGAGTAATCTCTTCAGGAACAAAGCTGTCTCTTTCCACACTGAAATAAAATCTTTGTAACTCTATCCCTTGTTCTCCAGACTCTGCTGATGTACAAAACATATTGGACATCAAATCTTAAAAATTGTCTGCTTAATGTTAAGCCTTCAGTTAAGGCTTCAAACCACAAGAGTTTTTGTAAAGTGGTCCATACAAGTTTGAAGACCAGACCTCATTTTTCAATCCCACATTACAAGGTTTGAAGGGAACTGTCAGCAGCTGGCATTTTATTTTATTGAGAAAACTGAAATCTAGGACAGAATATTCTTCTGTTTTTTTACATCTAATGTCTTTTGTCACTTTTGAATCAAATCCTTGATGGTATTTAGTATTTGTTTAAAATGATCTCACTTCTCCCATTTTAATTAAAAGTTATAAAATCTGTTATTTACCCAGGAGATTAGATCAGAGCCATTTCATCCTATTTACAACAAACAGAGTCTGTAATAAGTCCTTGAAACCCCTTCTAATCTCTAATATAAATATTTATTTAATCAGTTTAAAAATGATAATTATTTACCAGAGAGACTGAGGCAACTTCTACAAAGTTATTATGGATAAAAACATATTTTTTGAGGCTTTAAGAAAAAAAAAACTTAATAGCTTGAAACAGTTTCTTTAGAAGATGCTCAAATATTTTTTGGCAAATGATTGTTAGGTTGCTATCTTTTCTATTTCACTTATATATAACCTAAGGAGATTTTTTTCCCCCAGGCATCTATTGATTACATTAATTGCTAATTAACTATTTGCTTGGAAGAGTATTTTCTGTCATTTCAGACATTAGAATAAATGCTGCACTAATATCCTGGTTTCAGCCTTAAAACCGTGACATCTTCTTACATTACTACAATTTCAAACTCACATTACTCGTATTAGGTTTGCATGACAAGGTTTTGGTAGCAGGGGAGCCATGGGGGTAACTTTTGGGAACTACAGGGGTAACTTCTCTGAGAAGCTGCCAGAAGCTTGTCCCATGTCTGACAGAGACAGAGGAAGCTGCCTACAAGAGAGACCTGCCACCAGCCAAGGCTGAGCCCACCAGTGATGGTGGCAGTGCCACCGGGATAGCAAAGAAGGAAAAAATCCAAAACGTGCAACAAGCAATGGCAGCCAGAGAAGAGAGGAGTGAGAATATTTGAGCAACAGACCTGCAGGCAGCCAGGGTCAATGAAGCAGCAGTGGAAAGGGGTGCTCCAGGTGTCGGAGCAGAGATTCCCCTGCAGCCCATGATGAGGACCACGGTGTGGCAGCTGTGCCCCTGCTGCCCATGGAGCTCCACGATGGAGCAGGTATCCATCTGAAGACCACGGAGGACCCTGTTCCAGAGCAGGTGGATGTTCAAAGGAGGCTGCAACACCACAGGAAGCCTGTGCTAGAGCAAGTTCCTGGCAGGATCTGTGGACTCATGGGGATTCATGCTGGAGCAGTCTCTTCCTGAAGGGCTGCACCCCAGAGAAGGGATCCCTGCTGAAGCTTGTGAAGAGCTGTAACCTATGGGAAGGACTCATGCTGAAGAAGTTAATGGAGGACTATATCCTGTAGAAGGCAACCCACACTGGAACAGGATGCGTGTGAAGAGTCCTCCTCCTGAGAAGGAAGGAGCAGCAGAGACAATGTGTGACAAAACAACTACAGCCCCCATTCCCTGTGCCCCTGCATGGGAGGAGGAGGAGGAATGATGAGTGATCTCTACCTGTCCTCATCTCAACACATGAGCCTTTTGTTATATTTTCCCTCCCCTATCCAGATGAGGAGGGCAGTGACAGTGGCTGGGGTGGGCATCTGTTATCCAGTCAAGGTCAAACCACCACATAACAAGATCCTCTTTTTTGTACTTCAAACAAATTTATACTCTTTATCTTTACAACCAATTCTTCATAAAAAAAATGCCCTTTTAGATTAAAAAAGCAGGATATCAAAATCAAAAACCAAAGACACACATGTAGTGTATTCAAAGCACACAAAATTTTGTGATCAAGCAAAATATACAATAATTAGTTACAGTTAGGGGAGTTTTGGAAGTTAACTTGGAGGAAGTCACCTCTTGCAGTGGGGAATGTAAAGGTGGCTGAGCTGGTACTGCCTGGAGGTGTTCAAACGCTGTGGCTCAGCATTGCCTATGGGTCTCATTCATCTGGGGCCGGAAACCATGACTGAGCAAAGCCTGCAGGAGGCAACAAGGAATTCATCTATCATGTGGGGTGAGAAGTCAACCAGCATAGGAGCAATAATCCATTTTCTTGCATCTTCTTTCAATGTATATTCTTCCTTTAATGCTTTTTTGTATTCTTTCCATTCTCTCCAGTAGATGTGGTGCTACTATCGGGTGCAAGATGATGCTCACTGGAGAACAAAAATCTTGTGCTTGTTGTTGGCAGTGTATCCGGTGCTGCTGACAGAAAAGCCACAGTATATTCCCACATCAAATATTTGGGCTGTGTTGCTTCTGACAGCTGTCTCCACCACAGCCAGTACCAAATCTGAAGGCAGTCAATGCCTAATTTCTCAAGACAGAAATGAGAGTGCTATATGAAGTAATCATAAGGGGCCCAGGATTTGTCCTAGCTTTACCTTGCTCAGTGCTTATTTCCCTGCAGTATAAGCAGGGAGAACATGCTGACCTGGGTAAGGTTCATCAGCATTCACAGAAGAATAGCTATTTGATTCTGTGCTTTGCATATTGATTTAAAAGAATGAACCCATTCTGCATGCAACTGGAAAATAAAACACTTTAAAGATCTCTGACTAATTTTCTGGAGCCTATTTTTCAGTTTCTAGACAATGCATTTGGACATCACTTCTACATTACTGTTTTATCTCCTCTGTTCACATTATTCTCAATACTGCAGTTCCTGTTCTGAAGAAAAATATGTTTACTGTTAATTTTACTTTTGACATTTGTTTTCATTGAGCTTTGAAACTAACCTGTGTACAATCTATGAGTCTTTTTGAAGTGAGGGTGCATTTCCCAGACCTTTTAGAGCAAATTTGAAAACTTAAACTACAGTTACAGATCTATCTTGCATCATAATGTCTCTTTATCTCAGCATCACCTTTTATAGTATATGACTATCGGGGTGTCTTTTATGTTTCCTGCTTATCATAAGACCTTCTTTTAAAATTCTCCAGTTGAAATAAAAGAGTTTTTACTTGCAAACAAGAGTTTTATTTGCACTTCAGTGGATACTTTAAATACCTGAGCATTTAATGTTCAGTTATGTA